GAGCTTAACGGGGTATACTGGGTCTGCTAACAATATCGCATTCGAGACGGCGCCCAGGGGTCGTGGGTCTCGGCTGTGAGCAGTGGTTCTCAATGCCTCTGCAGGACCCTGGTAGACAAATGTCATTAAAAGTTGACCCCTCTGTGAAGGACTGTTAGCCTGCGCTTGCGACTTGATTGTAACTACCGTTTCGTGAGTCATGCCAAGAATCTGTGACTTTGAACTGGTGGATAAGGGTTTCCATCCTCTGTTGATGAAGCACTCAGCTAATTCGCGTATATCTCCCCCTCGACAAGTTTCTTTGTCTCCGATTCACGGCGTTCTTGCAAGCCATGCTCTTAAAATTTGTTTTGAACACAGTTGCTGGCACCTTGATGCAGGTTCTCAAGATCGTACATTCATCTGGGCCACTGGCTTGGTGACAGCTTCAGCATGTTCTTTGTGCTTTTTACCGTGTGATTTGATAACCATCTTCACTTCCATAGACGAAGTCTAATGCATCACCGAAACTCGTCCAGACTGTTGCCACTCCAATTGTGAACAACCCTTCCGCATCATCGACAATGACCTCTGCGGGAAGATCTATAGGACGAATTCAGTCTTCCAAACAATTCTGAGGGTACAGGGATTGATAGAATTTTATCTGTTAAACCTTTTTGACAGTCTGATATAAACTTGGGGATAAAGGAAGGGGTGATCTCCTTGTACCTTGAGCCTATGGGGAGCCCCTCTATTGCCAGACAAATATTCGGAATTTCTGGCACAGAGTGCAAGGCTTACGAAGATATTCTTTCCTTACCGTCCCATCCCACCCGCACATCAGGCTTCTCCTTCGCAATTTACGAGATCAATGTACCCAGCCGTTTGATTTGATATTTCTTGTTGTTGTGTTCTTGTGCTTGGATGCCAGGCTATCTTAGAGAATGCATTCCTTATCCATTATGGGGTTAGTAACATCCTCACTCAAATCCCCAGCCCGCCTTCTTCCGAGGTGGCGATCTGCGAAACCTCTACAGAACCAACTCCACATTCAATGACCCGGGACGCAGCAAAACAAAACCTCGAATCTTGGGACTGAGCATTTTGTGCCTGCCGAACACTCAAGTGCCAGTCATGCAACATGCCGCCTAAGACAATTCATGTGTTCTTTCTTTCTGCACCCATGCACCAGAAGAGTGCCAAAAATCTCTTAATTGAAGCATGTACAGATGATATGCATCAGTGTCGGCTGTGTAGTAACAAATGTGACCGAAGCGACGTATTGCAGACTGTCAGTCTGATCACGATTTGACTACGTGTATCCGGAATTTCCAGGGGTCTGAAAGTGTTCATGTGTATCTTAATAAATTCTTTGCACTTCAAAACCAAATTGACTCTACTTTTTTGGAGAAAATAGCGCAGATTTGTGAAAACCATTTCGGCCCGGCGCAGGTGACTCCCGAAGGAACGAGTATTCACGCTGTGACCTATGACAGCCATTTAAATTCCAAAGCACGCCCAATCTATTCGTTGATGTTAAGACCCCCAAATCGACTCTAACTTGCGCAAATTCGACCAAGAAAGGTAAAGAGTATTGGCCCAAAAAACAGTTTCGGGTCCCTTACCGGGCCCATAGGGGGAGGGAGGGGGGCTGTTTGCCCGCGCGGTCAAATTTTCTTGGGCCTCCTCAAAAAACTCTTCTTAGTGGCAGCCGAAACATATGGAACCCAGATTGACCCTTAAAAATGTCTTTTATAATTTGCAGCATTTCGGGCTCTTACGAGTGCGATAGCCTCTCCCCTGACTATTCCCCTTTTCTGGTCTCCTTGCCTCCCCTTCTCCTTCCCTGCCACTCTCGGCTGATTTATCTTGACTTTCACCTCCCCTCACTCCCCTCACTCGCAAGCTTTGTTTGCTGGCCGGGTCGGGGCGGCGGCTAGGGCGGTGGTGGTGGTGTGGTCGCTGGTGCTTGCCTGGGTCGGTGCGGTGGTGGCCGGTTGGGGTGTGGTGGCTCTTTGCTGGTGCGTGGTGCGTGGCGGGGGCGGTGTGCTGGTCGGTGGTGTCGGTGTAGTGGCGGTGGGGGATGGGCTGCGTCCTCGGTGGAGTGGTGGTGTGGTGGTGGGTGGTGCTGGTTGTGTGCTGCGTTGTTGGTGTGAGTGGGTGTGGCGGTGGGGTCGGTGTGGGTGGTGAGTGGTGCGTGGTGGTGGTGGTGCTGGCGCGTGGCGCTGGTGGTGGGGGTGGCGCCGACCCGGCGACGCGGGCGGGCCTTTGGGGTGCGGTTGCTGGTAAAATCGGTGGTGGTGTGTGCTGCTGCTGCTGCTGCTGGGGTGGTGGCTAGTCGGGTGGTGATGGTCTGGTGCTGAGGGTGGTAGGTCGGCGGTGGCGTGGCGGTGCCGGTGGTGGTCAGTGTGGCCGGCAGCGGTGGTCGGTGGGTGGTGGCCAGCGCCCTGCCGGCGTGGCCATGGTTGGTGGTAGTGAATGGTGGCTGTTGCTGCTGCTGCTGCTTGTGCTGCCTCCCCGGTGGTGGTGGTGGTGTGCCTTGCCTGTGGTGATGGTCGGTGGTGGTGGTAGGTGATGCGGTGCGCGTGCGGTGTAGGCGGTGGTGGCTGGTGCGGAGCGGTGGTTGGTGGGGTGGGTGTGGTGGTGATGGTGGTGTAGTGCTGTGGTGGTGGTGGTGCGTATGTGTAGCCCCCCCCCACCCCTACACGACGACGTGCCCCCTACACGCGACGCCCGTGTACTTCCCCCTACACTGACGAGCGTGACGCCCCCTACACCACGCAAACGTGCCTGCCCCTACATCGACGTACGTGCTCCCCTCGCACCGACCGCGGTGTCACCCCCTCTAACAACCGACGCGGTGCTACCCCGCTGCCCCCGGTACACCGATCGCGCGTGACCCCCCCCCCCTACATCGACGCGTTTACCCCCCCGCTACGGTACACCGACGCGGAGTACCCCTCCCCCGCCTACAACCGCACGACGGCCCCCTTACACGACGCCGTGACCCCCCCCCGCTACACCGACGCGGTGTGCTACCTCTACACCGGACGCGCAGTTAGCCCCCTCCCTGCTACACCGGTACGGCGTGCCTACCCCCCCCCCACACGGACGCGTGTACCCCTCCCCCTTCACACCGACGCTTGCTACCCGCCTGCCCCCTACACTCGACGCGTGTACCCCCCTACATCGACGCGGTTGTACCTCTCCGCCTACCACCGATCGCTGTTGGCTACCCCCGTACACCGACGCGTGTGTAGGTCCCCTTAGCACCGGACGCGCTGTACACCCTTCACGCCGCTACACCGCAACAATATTTGCACGTGCGCCCGCCGGTACGGACCAACGCGCGTGGGCGCCCCTACACGTACGCGTTGTACCCCCCCTACACCCGACGCGCTGTACCCCCCGGCCCCTGTTATAGCCCGACGGCGTTGTACCCCCCTACCACCCGGACGCGCCGCGGTGTATCCCCGCTACACCGCACGCGCGTGTATCCCCCCTAAACGATCGGACGCGGTGTACCCCTACACGGACGCGTGTACCCCTCCCCCAACACCGACCGCACGTGCCTTCTACACCAACGCCGTGTACCGCCCCCCACCACTACCGACGCCTGCATACCCCCTTCCCCCCGCCCCCCGCGACCACCGACGCAGGCGTGCGCTCCCTACACCGACGCTGGTACGCCCCTCTACACGACGCGATGTACAGCCCCCCCCCCCTACCCCAGACGCGACGTGTCCCCCATACCACCGACGCACGTGCCCCCCTGCCACCGACGCATCGTGCCCCCCCCCGCCACACCGACGCGTGTACCCCCCCGGCCCCCCTTACACCGACGGCGTGTACACACACACACGACACACACACACACAACACACACACACACACACAACACACACACACACACACTCTTCTCTCTCTCTCGCTCTCTCTCTCTGCTCTCTCTGCGCTCTCTCTTCTCTCTCTCGTCTCTCTCTCTTCTATCTCTCCTCTCTCTCTTCTCTCCTCTCTCTCATCTAATATGAGACGATATTAGTTACAACGCGTGTAAGAGAGTAAGAGAGTAAGCGACGACAGGCGCTGGCATTTATATATGGCCGCGATATATCAAATCTCAAATCACACGCTATCCGACTCGAGTCCCACTTCCACAGCATTTGCATTCACACAAAGCGCACCACCACATTCCCGCCTAGCCAATCACCATTTTCTCATTTTTACAAGAAAGGCGCTGAAACTGTGTTTAGTATGCCATGCCAATTTCTCCGCGGAGACATCCGTTGTTGGCCGACGCATACATTAGTGCGTAGCACTCTATAGAATCCCGCCACCACCAACTAGCGTCTCCTGTCGCTATCGCTCTCTGCCAAGCAGTGAAAGTTCTCATGGCCAGCTATCATCGGCATCGTCCTCGAGGGAGACATAGCTATTAAGGTGAGATTACATGCAATTGTCATGTAGGCGTGACGGAGCGAGAGTGAAAAAGATCGATGGCCAATCACCGAATGGCACAAAGTCATTTTTCATTTGCTGTCGATTTCCCTTTGCCGCTGCTATTATTACGTCGAACGGGGAGAATTTCGCCGAG